TGCTTTAAATTGCAAGAACTCAACTTGCTCGTTGATTTCCAGCCTGAGCTTTTAACGTGGGTGGAATACGTGGTAGCATTCAATCAGGAATACAAAAACGATGCAGAATCAATGTTTGAAATTGTGAAGAATTTCGCTCCAAAATTAGATTGGAAAATAGCATTTTCAGAGATGGCAAAAGATCCAAGGTGGGAAAAAGTTGCTGGGCAAATAAAAAAGGAGCATGCGTTTTGTATGAAAGCGCAGATACCAATAGATTATGTGCTTAAGCTCTCGTGGCTTGATGTCGAGAGACCAAATATTTTGGAAAACCAGGACTTTAAAGATTGGGTCTCATACTCGGTTCTTCTCAAATATAGCAACTCTGAAAACACGGATGACCTAACCGCGCTAATAATTCTGAAGGAATCTGCGCAGACAGACACAACAACATTGATTGAACGTTTAAAGCAAGCAACTAGTGTCAAAACAAGGTCGCCGTGGAATCACCAAGTCTGCGAGTTAATGATATATTATAGAGCCAAAGAAGACCAACTTCTAATAAGCGCATGGGTAGATTATGTCTCCACGCTCGATGTCCAGCCTCTTGGTTGGAATATTGCTACCATTTTGAGTACCATTGTTCCAATCAATCATTTCATCAACACTGTCGTTCTCAAGGCTAAGGCTGTGAACAGAGTACAAATTCTCCATCCGCTGATCAGGGCTATGACAGAAACAAAACAGAAGTATAAAATGTTGTTCAAGGCATCCTGAGAAAATCATACTGCTGATGGCAATCAATTTCGTGGGATTTCTGACAAATAGACAGTTTGCATGCCTCATTTTCATGGCACGGAAGATTGGAAACTCTTGTGCAAAACTACAAGTTTGTTTCTTCTTAATCAAAACCCGCACTTGTCGAAAATCACGTAGTTATCGTCCATTTACTATAACAGAGTTTCATACCACGCCACGCACAGTCAGTATCTACCGGTGATTGATACAAATACGTAGATCATGTGGAGATATGTGAACAACAAAGTAGTACATATAGTTTTATTATAGTACCGTAAAAAATATCTTAAACTTAATGATATTTATATATTCTTTCTAGAAGAAGTATTTAGTTAAGTTCTCAGTTCCATTCCTGAGTACAGAGTACAAACCCACCTCTTTGTATTTTTCCACGCGGGCTCATTGAGTCACGGCTACATCTAGGAAAATGAGATTCACGAGCTCTTCCGGACATTCCTAAGCTAGTTGCTTTCTTAATATAAAAGTCAATGTGAACATACAGGCTACGGTTTTCGTAGTACTTACACTTTCCATATAACTCTGTCGTAGTGTGTAAGCTGGTGAACATCCGATAGTCAAGATATTAAGTGATGTCCTTTAACGCTTGAATGGTTACGATTGTAATTGTAACGGGGTCACACAAGATGGTGTGGATCACACGAGATGGTGTTCGTCATACAAAATGGCGGTTCTCACAAGATGGCGTGACCGCACAATGGTGTGGCTACACTTAAGCAACATGTCAGTACGTGACTGGAATAGCAGTATTAATACATTCAAATAGGTTTCACTGTTTCGATAGGAAAACCTGTAGATTTAATATAGGCGGCTTCCCGCAAATAAAAATACCGTTAACATTTTTAACGGAACAGCTTATTACCCTTGGGTTAAGGTTGTTGTTACTTTTGGAGTAAGCGAATTGCAATCCGCTGCACTCGTATTATAGAACGAAGGTCGCCGACCTTAACTAAGCTTTCTCTAAGCGAAAGAGCTACGGCAGCCCCGCTACACTTGGTAGCTTGTAGTCAATCTACACCTGAGTCGTTACTTCTGACCCTACATGAGGATGGAAAAGTTCCCGTTTCTGCTCCAGAGCATACAGGATGGGCTTTATATAGCTGATGTTTTTGCTTGGCCCAGAGGGCGTGCAACATCTCGCTTCGCAAGAAACTGAAGCGATAGGCGCGCGCCTAGAGGCGTTTACACGCTATCAAAATGCTCTGTTTGAGCACCTGCAGCAGGAAGTGTGTCGGCATCAACCATGTCCATGACGCCACCGCCAGCAACGGATGACTTCCCTCGACCCAAGCCGCTCATGGTGAAAGTTGAGCCCGTCCAGGACAAAGATGGACGGAATCTCCTGCTCTGGGTGAGGGAAGTCGAGATGAACGTGGCGTCCGCCATGCTCCAGAACGAGCAACAGTGCGTGGCGCTAGCTATCTTTCCAAGCTCGGGGGTCGAGCGCGAGAACGGGCACTGACGTGCGGCACTTTGGTCGAAGCGGCGGCAGAAGCTGCAGCTTTCACAAGTGTTCTCACCGCCGAACCAAGCATATCACTTGCGATCGCGTTTCATTCCCGCCCGTCAGAGCAAGAAGGAACCGGTGAACTTTGTCTAAGGGTTACTTACTCTCATTGCGGTGATCTCTCCCCGAGGCCGTCACAGTGACCGTCTTTTTAGAAGGCCTCCGCTCTGGCGTGGCCAGAATGAACATCTTTCGCGTACAGTCGTCTTCTCTTGAAGAAGCAGTAAATGTGGCATTGAATGCCAAAATATCTTTTAGACGGCATGACCTGGTTGGAATGCACACCCTCAAAGCTTGTCTAGCGGGCCTGAGCCGATGGCTCTGAGCTATGTTGAGGACAAGGAGGCAGAGCTCTGAGCTGCCGATCAGCGTTCGAACACCCGACGGTGTTTTGTCGGTGGAGACACCCGTCATTATCGGATTGGTTGCCACCTGCGCAAGGCGTGTCAAGTTTTTTCAAACCGACGTCCCCCTTCTTACTAAACTTCTGGTTCGTCACGGGAAAACGACAACACCCAGTAGGCGCCAGTGGTCTCCTGGAAAGAACTAAGTTCTGTTGAACCTCATGGAGGCAAAGATCAGAAGGGCCCAGCCCCGAAGAGCTCCTTGCTCTTTAGCATGGAACGTATATGCAAGCCGGGCTTGCTGGTCGTGCAGGCGGCCGTGAAGGGCTTTAAGATGCCATAAAAAATCCTGATTGACTCCAAGACGTCAGGCGATCATGCTCGACACTCCACAATGGAAGGAAGTCAGATGTATGCTGACGCGCTGAAAGCGTGATTGAGTGGCATCGTCACTGTTCGCTTACCGACGGGGACACGTGTCACGGTGCTGAAGGTCCCGTTGGACCTTAGGGTCATGTTTCTTGACGTGGGACGTTGTATAGGTTTAAATATGAATCCAACATATGACATTTTCCTTGGTATGGCATGGTTGGAAGACCATGAGCCATGAATCGACAAGAGGTCGAAGACCTTGGGCGCTACGCGCGCGTCTCCCGGTGGGGCTTTGATGAGCCATGAACCCACCTCTTCTAGGAGGCAAAAACGCTATTGGCGCGGGCACTAGACCGAGACGGACAACGTGCTGGATTGGCGCACACCAAAGATGTATCGCACAGAAGTCTCAAGCATGGCTCGCGGGCTGTGGCACTTAACCAACTGAGCGCTGCTCAAGTACCGGAGCAGTCGCTGCATGCCATACATGGCATGCATGGCATGGTCGGCCAAGGGCCAAGGGCCGAGACATCGAGGGGGAGGCCGCATGTGGAGTGGAACGTAACCACTGAGCACTGCTCACGTTTCAAAGCAGTCGCTGCATGCCACGAGTGGCATGATCAGACGAGGTCCAAGGAATCATAGGTGAAACACCAGTGATGCGCGTGGAGTGGCACGTAATCCACTGAGCACTACTTACGTCAGAGCAGGCTTTGCATTTCACGAGTGGCATGGTCGGACGACGTCCGGGACATCTTGGGTAAGGTCCTTCAGATGTGCGTGGACTGGCATGTTATCTACTGGACGAAACTGCGGAGCTAACATCTCTTCGTCGGATGTTGTTAATAATATCAGGGCTTCACGCCGTATACTAGCTGCAAGACGCCAGGCGTCGTCCATGAACCAGGTTGCGTCTACCGTCAACGATTGCGCGCAACTATACACCCTCGTCAACGGTATGACATGAGAGGAAGACGGCGACGTCACCCTTTAGGCTAGTTTTGCGGTGGATGTTCTTCTTGAGCTGGATAAGATGTCCGTCGGAGAGTTCGGCAGTGCCTTGAGCACAGACAATTTAGCCGAGGTGGTCGTTATACGACCGAACGACGAGATTAACTCGTCGTCGCTCCTGGATGAAGCTCCCCTTGAAGGACACTAAGAGGGTGCTGAGCGCACAAAGTGGATCGTTGATCCTGAAGGATCCCTTGGATCCGTACTATTCTTTGGTAAAAGAATTTCAAAGCGTCGGCTCCAAAGATACTTGCGGTCCTACCTCTGGACCGTGGTAGGCGTCATGAGGTCGACCCGGTGCCGGGAACCAAATACTGAGTAACACGCCAATGAGCCCTGCCCAAAGAGCAGTGTGACCTCATTGGTTCCTTCTTTCGTGCGAAGCACGACGCGGAATGGTGCGTGAGAGTAGGTCTCCCATTCGAGACCCACGTTTTGTGTCCGGAAGCCGAACGGCTAGTGGCGTATCGTTCAAGCTTATAATAAGCTAAACACTGCCACCATTTTCCGGCACAAATGCCATTTCCTTTAAAGAATGTTCTCTAGAGTAATATGGTTGGCTGTACATAGCACAGCGCGCTCGACTTGGTCGATGGGTATTACCAATTGCTCTTGAGAGCGAGTGAAATTCCGCTGACAACGGTGAGTACTCGGAGCGGAATGCTCTGGGAGTAGCTGATAATCCCCCAGGGGCTGTCAAACACCAGCTTTCACCATCTTGTGACGCAGTTGTTCAGGCTTCATAGGTCGACAACATCTTCGACCACAGTCGTGCTGGGCACGAGAGAACAGATGTGGAGAACCACATCGCTCATTTGAGAGTGGTGTTCGAGTGTATGCGCACGAACATACTGTACACCAATGCAGACAAGTGCCTCTTCGGTGCAGAAGAGATTCCTTTTTTAGGGTGCTTCATTGAAAAAAGTGGCCTTCGAGCGGATCCCGTTAGGGTCAAGGCCATTGTAGATTGGCCGGTTCCAAAGGACCAGAAGAAGTTCGTAAGTGGCTTGGCCTCGCCAACTACTTGCACAAGTACAGCGTAAATTACGC